GATGCAGCATAATAATCGATTAATGCATCATCAGCAACGATTAATGCAGCCTGCGCAAAAATGATAATCGATTAAGGCCAAAGCAATTAATCGATTAGAGTGTTCTGAGTAAGTTAATCGATTAACAAGAGGAAAATAATCGATTAAGTCAAAGTAGCTCAACACAAAGTAAAACTCAATTAATCGATTAATCAAAAGAGTTTAATCGATTAATCAAAACAAAACTAGGCAAATCGATTAATGTGAGAATAATAATCGATTAGTTTTGAAATGAAGCGCAAACACAAGGGGGCCCAAGCCAGTTGCGATAGAGAGGAGAATTGGCGTAACACTCGTTGTTTGAGACAACGGGAATCAGAGAACGCTCCTCCTCTTATTCAATGAATTTGAATAAGGGAGTAAAAGTGAGTCCAAAAATTATTTTGTGTGTCAAACGATGTACACAAAAAATATTTGAATAAAATATTTTTGCTTACCAAAAATATTTTATAATATCAAAATAAATATTTGATAAATGTTTGGCACACCTTTTGTAACTGACTCAATAAAAACTATTTTGAACAGTTAAAAGATTTTTCAACTGACTCCAAAAAATAAATACTCCCTCCGTCCCAAAAAGAATGGGACGGTTTGACTTTTTGAGAAATTAAGGGAGGGAAATTTTGGTATTGACTTTCCAAAAATATCCTTGATGTGATTGGTAAAAGTAGGATGTGATGGATAGATTATTAGGAAAAAGGTATGATGTGATAGGTAGGGTATGAAAAAGTAAGGGGTAAAAGTGGTTTTTTAATAGAAATGTAACGGACTTTACGGGACGCAGTTTTTTCTAAACGTAACAAACTTTTTGGGACGGAGGGAGTATAATTTTTATTTTAACACTCATAAAAATAATTTTGAAGAGAAGATATTTTTGTCACCCTTACAAAAATTCCTAAGACTCAAATAAATAAAAAGTCTTCGGAAATCTTCTACTCCTCCGAGTCCTCCGTTAGGCGCTCCGAACGCGTCTCGGACTTCAATAAAATCCTGTGCACCTTCTTGAATACTTCAAGGAATGGCACTTCAAGTCAAATCGTGTTTGTCGTTGTAGTACTTTGATCTTGACTTGAATAAATTGTGTTTGTCAATTATCAAAACCTGTGAGTCAACACTTAACAACACAGAAAGGGTTGAACTCATGCATTCCAACAATTTCCCCCTTTTTGATAATGACCAACACATGGAGGATATGCTATCAACAAATAACAAAATAAGGCATATACTCCTATACTCTTCCCCCTTTTGGCATTATCAAAAAAATAATGCAACAAAAGAACTCATGCATTCCGGGGAGAAAACAAATTTATAAACAATTAATAAAAAATCACATTCCCCCTAAAATCATGCATTTCTAGGAAATAAAAATACTTCCCCCTTAAAGTATGCTATCTCCCCTTTAAAAAAAACATGCAAAAAGATTAACACATATAGCAATAAATTCTCCCTTACTATATGTAAGACATCCTATGTATATTCCCCAAATAAATTCATATAAATCTCAAAGATAACATTTATTTAAAAAAAGAATTTACTCCCCTTTGATGCAATCTCTTTGGCTAAGTGCTTGGAGCATCCACTACAAATTTGTAGTCTTCAAGCACGCCTTTCAAGTGCGTCACGTGCCCGACCACCCATCTTGTTCTTCAAGAGCGATGAGGCAATCCTCTTTGGAAGGTTCATCATACTTCCACGAAAAATAAGCAAATTCATCTTGTTTGCTCATTTTCTTGAGCTTCAGGCACTCAAATTTTCGGTGGCCAAGCTTTCCGCACTTATGACACCTTGGGGTGTTTTTCTTCTTGCTCTTGTTTAGCTCATGTTTCAAAAACTCATTAAAACATTCAACCAAAATATCACAAGAAGTGCTAGAATCGTTATCACTATCACTATCCGAATCCGAATCATCAATCTCTACTTTTTGAGAAGAAGATGCTTTAAAAGCAATTCCCGTTCTCTTCTTAACATCAAGAGTATGAGAAAGATGATTTGTTTCGTAAGTGATAAGGTTACCTCGAAGACCATCGTATGTGATGACGTTGTAATCTCGGCCTTCGTAAATGGAGTTTACCTTTGACTCCCATTCCTTGGTAAGACTTCGCAGGATTTTCCTCACTAACTCCTTGTCGGTGAGCGTCTTTCCAAGCATATCAAGGTCGTTGACGATGTTTGAAAATCTTCCAAACATGTCCTCCACAAGTTCGTTCTCTTTCATAGCAAATAACTCATATTCATGGGTTAGTAAATCAATTTTTGATTCACGAACTTGAGGCGTACCTTCGTATGTGATCATGAGCTTGTTCCACATTTGGTT